GAACGGTAAGGTTCTATCTTAGTAAGCGTTCCTATTTATCAACCGACTTCAAAAAAGGAGGAAGTTGTCAATTCGATTTATTTTTTCCAGTTTGTTACCTCAGGATTTTCCAGTGAGTGAACCGATTTTGATGTTTTTTTTTAAAGCTGGTGCTTCCCATGTGGTCTCATATTAATTTCATTGGTATTGGATCTTAGGGAAATACTAGGGAACTCCTGAAAATGAGTTATAATGAAAACAGAGCGAGATATATGAAGTCGGTTTTGTTTTTTTTTTTAAAAAGGACTTGTTATAGGATGTGTGTTAGATGGTAAGAATACATTTATATTCTCTGAAACTATCTTCTAAAGTATTTGTACTAAGGCGAAATGAAATGACCACGGTTTTCGCAATTCCCCTCTCGCCGTAAGCCTTGTCAGTTCCTAGCATAGCCTTATACATCATCGGCATCATAAGATCGCCAACATAGGAAAAGGCGGAAGCGACTAATAAATGGCATTTTCATTTTGTCAGATTTGGCACAAGATTTAATAAGGACATTCGTTTCTACAGATAACATTTTGCAACCTTTCGCTTAATAAAAGGCGGATTACAGTTAAATATTAACTATTTAAGTGCTATTATGCTCTCACCAGCACTGGTGGATGAATTTACTTGAAAAGTGGATTTTGGTCCATTTATTCACATTAAAAGTTTTATCTAGAGGTTGGCAATATAAATAAAATAATCATGACGAACATCAGTTAAAGTATCACTATTTGATACTTTAACTGATGTTCGAACAAATCTTGTAAGAATAATATTAATAAAACCTCCACCAACCATCCATCCACTTCCATATAGAATTTAACTTCGAAAAATGTGTAACAAATACATTTTTCCCGGGGCTGGTTTAAAAAAAAACATAATTTCAATGAATAAGGCTAGCAAGAACCTTTACTATTTCAGTTCTTAGCTAAATGATTGTGATGGCGATCAAAGATCTAGGATTATGGTCGTTGGCGACAAGTCGTTTCATTCTCATACTGAAGAAATCTCCTTGTCCTTCGAAACTTTCTCACTAGTTTTCGCAATAACATACTGAAGGCATAAGCTCTTGCAATAAAAGGGTTGTGTTAGATTCAGAAAATCCTGAATGGAGTGTAATCTGTAAATTCATAGCCACCTGTTCCGCCGATGAAATAGTATCGACGTTGTTGGATGTCGAAAAAATACGTCACAGCCCAAAGTCCATCACACCACCTCGACTACGTTTTATACGCCATCTTAGCATTCGGCCAATTCTTTGTAGCTACCACCGCTGTAACACCTACCTTTAAGTTGTAAAAATTACGCTACATTTATTTTCAATTCCTTATACATTAATCGAGGGAATCCAACACGCAAGGGCCCTCACAATATTTGAAAATTTGTGTCTAGAAATCTTTTTGACCATTTCCAAAAGCTGTAGATGAAACGTTCTCATCGATCCTTTCGACAAATAAGAACGTCTTCAATAAACGAGTGTTCAACTTTTTTTTTTTTTATGCCAAAAGTTGCCAAACGAGCAGACGGGTCACCTGATGTTAAGTGAATACCGCCGCCCATGAACATCTGCTACACCCGAGGCTTACAGATGCGTTGACAACCTTTTGAAAATTGGGCTCCGGCTACCTCACTCACCAGACGAAACGCGAAAGTATTTGTCATACTTCCACTTTACGCCGGTCTTCTGTGAGGTCGTGGTACTTACCCGGACGGGCCTGCCCATTCGTGCAACAGCCGAGGCTGCTGCGTGGCCCTACCACCGATCAAAAGACTGATAAGACCTGATAAGACTCTCGAACATTAAACTTACTCAAAGTCAAGAGTTGAACTTTAACTCTCTTTCTGCTATTATTACATTCTCTCAACTTCGACCATACTGGGTGTACTCGTGGGGGGTAACCACACCTCCTATTCCAAGTATATTTAACTAACACACTAATATAACTTGTAGTTGAAACTAATGTTATAGTGTTCAAGGAAAATCTACCTAACACATGTTTGCATTTATTTTATTTATTATAGAAACGATTGCCTTTCGTTTTTAAAGGACCTTACACTTACAACTTCTACGCATTAGAGCACAATTTAAATAATTTCTACACCGTGGTAGGTTATTGAAATCGCTACTGCTTTTCAGAAAGCGCTCAATCTAAGCGTGATCTTTAATGCTTATCCCGTCAAAACCTGAAGGAGTAGACAAGAAACAGATTGTTCGCCCGAAGAGTTACGCTTAATCGTTTCCCTTTTTTGTTTTTCCCTTATCGAATCTTCTTCTACGGTATTAAGCTTTACCGTGAATAGAACTTTCGAAATGAATAAATGAAATCCTTTATAATTCCAATTTATTCCCTTGCCCTATATGCATAAAATGAGAAGTGCCCATGATGTGCTTTTAGCAATTTGAGTAAGCCAAGTAAAATAATTTTGAAAGGCCTGCCTAAAGGAAAATAATACAGAGCTTATCCGACCTATCGCCATCGTCTAGTTTTATAAAATTATGGAGAATGGAAACCAACACATATAGTTCAAATGTTCTTTGTAAAATAATGTTTCAAAGTGTCGGCATTATGTATAGTAGATTTTCGTGCAGTAGGGATATCGAGCGCTTGAAAAGGTATAAAGAAGTTTCATAAACTGAACACGACAATTAAAATACTCCGTCGTAAATTTGAAATTTATTTTTAAGATTATCGGCATAAAAATTTTTTATTACGAGGAAAAGTATTTTGAAATCAATTTTTCGCCTGATGGGTATTTTAAATTCACTTAATTTATAGACCTAAGACACTTTTTGTATGTGTTTTCAGGGTTCCGTACCCAAAGGGTAAGACGGGACCCTATTACTAAGAGTTCGCTATGTGTCTATCTGTCCGTCTGTCACCAGGGTGATCTTATGAACCGTGATAGTTGCATAGCAGCAAATAGTAAAAAATAGAATTAAAAAAAATATTATTTAAGTCGGGTTCCCATGCAACAGACAAGATTATTTTGTCGTTGTTATAGATAATGTTTCTGTTTGTTTTTATACGTAATTGTATATCGGCAATTACGATATTTCAGAACAATTTGACGTTACATTATTTAACCGCTGAAAGGACGTATTACTTCACAAGCAGTGGTAAAAAGTGGAATAGTATATTATACAGTAGATCTATATTCAGACGGTGATGAGAGTAAATGCTGAGGAAGAGTATATCATCTCTTGGTATTTTTATTTACCTAATCATAACTACGACTTACAAAATCTATTTTACTCGATCATTTCATTGTGCAACGTATTATTATTTCAATACATGTTAAATGCAAAGCCCTTGCCTAAACTGACAGATTACGGTGCACGGGCGTTCTGGCACTGTCCAGGCTCTAAGCCCCAAAATTTATTGGTGAGCCACGCATGTATTTACATAGCGCTTGTGGTATTGCAAGTCGAGACATATTCTTTCAAAGTCTATATGTATAACGAATGCCAAAGGCATGTCAAACGATTCCTGATAGATTTCACGTACGCATAATTTAAATAAGCTACATAAAATATGAAACGAAATAAAATCCAACTAATACAATACACTTAACATATTATGTTAAGTGTAATTATTTCATGATTTTATTGCATTTTACTTTGTTTCTTTTTTTTATGCGAAAAGTTGTCAAACGAGCAGACGGTTCACCTGATGTTAAGTGAAAACCGCCGCCCATGGACATCTGCCAAACCCGAAGGTTACAGATGCGTTGACAACCTTTTGAAAATTGGGCTCCAGCTACCTCACTCACCAGACGAAACGCGAAAGTATTTGTCATACTTCCACTTTACGCTGGTCTTCTGTGAGTTCGTGGTACTTACCCGGACAAGCCTGCCCATTCGTGCAACAGCTGAGGCGGCCGCGTGGCTCTACAACCGTTAATTCTCAACATCGTAGCGACGTTAGTAAATAACATCAAGATTTAAATCACTTCTTTTTACGAGGGAGAAGCTTCCACCTTCACATTTGCCGGAGATACAGGTGCACGGACATGCGATCTTGCGCGATGCTAACGCGTCTTAGGCATTCTCAGGCTTCTCCCGCAATCTGTCCATATGGTGCTGTGTCGATGCAAATAGAAAAGCTTCCCTCACGAGCAGACACCCGCATGAAATAGGGGTTCATTAGTGGGAACAGTGCGTGGGTAGTAGATTACTAGGTGGCAGTTGCCTCCCTGAGAATCTCCACGGCTCTTTTACAGGGGATAACGTACTCTTTAAATGCGATAACGGCACCCAACGCCGTCTTGCTATCCCAGGGCAACTATGGCAAGCAGTGAGAAGTCACACGCCAAAAGCGCTCAACTCTCGGGGCTGCTAGTTCAGCCAGGGTATTCTTTCAGCGTGCTTTGGGCAGTTTGGTCTTCTCGTTACATACGACGTGGAACAGATATCTCCCGAAACAACTGTGTCGCAAGGGGACCTCCGTGCCTTAGGGATGACGTGTCTCCTGTCCAGTTACCTACTGTGGATACGTACGGGCTCCACGGTTAAATTTATAATCTCCTCATTCATCATCAATTTCTTTGATCATTCATTAATTTATCCGTTATTTAGGTCATCGGATTTAAACCGATCTAATAAAAAAAAACCGGAGAAAAAAGAACCGGAAACATTCCCCGCTGCGGGAATCGGGTCCACGTCTTCCGCATTTGTGACGCTTTAGCGACCAAGCTAAAGGGCTGAATGCCACACCGATGAAAATCTCAGCGTATTTGATTATTTTTTCCGCATTTTAAGCATATGGTTCAAAAGATGTAAAATACGAAACTCACCGTAGAATATCCTCGCCTGCTTCCGGTCTGATCTGAAACAAAACGGGTAAAAATATAATCATATACTTTTACTACTATATATACTTTTATAATTACATATTTTTACTACTATATATATTTTTATAATTATATAATTTATAATTATATAATTTTGCAACTTCATAGGTCTAGCTGGTCTATTCGTGCGCCAGGAGTGAGATACTGTTGATGCCAGTCTGTCCTGTGACCATGATCGCTGTAAAGGGGTACGAAACATCAAGAATTTAAAAATCTAATGTGATAAAATCCGAGAAAACAGTTTCATTTAACAACATGCGAATACATTTAATATCCGTAAATAACTTTCACACGAATGATAGAAAGTCTTCTTACTTTCTGATGAAGTGTCAAAATCTCTTACAAAACTATGTATGTATAACCACAAATATTTAGCTGACACAGGATTCTGTGGCTTTCACGCTTGATGAGCTTCAGTATGTTTTTCGAAGCTACGTATATATTTTCATTAAGCTTGTTTTAAATCATTGCCAGTTAGAATTCAAAATTACGACCTGTCTTTATTGCCCGCGATAGAACACCAGGCTTGCCAGCTAGGGCCTCATCGTCTCGTGCCAACATAAGCTGGTTAAACAAAGTTTTTGCGTCATCTTCAATGTTAGGGGTAAAGAAGCAAGAACATTTGGTTTTGAGTCCAATACAGAAAGTGTTACTTACAAACTATTCGTTGGACTCCCATCTTGCTGTATTTTTTCTTTAGATGAATGACGAGTGTTATATATGAGCAGGGCGTCTGTGGACAAAAAGAATGCTGTTTAAGGAAAAATGTGAATACTTACAGTAAGTAAATGTTTGCTCAATAATGTTAAGTAATATTTAAGATGAAACGTATTTAAAGTTTCATCTTAAATACAGTGTAGACAAAACTGTGGCAAAATTGTTGCAGAGACAAGTACTAAAATTAAAAACAAAATTTCAATACCAAAGATGCCATCTCCGGTTAGTAAATATTCGTTGTGAAAAAGTTCAAAGAAGCAATTAAATAACGCCAAGAAAAGAAAAGAAAAAAGGATAATGATATGGTACGGAACCGTCGTGCGCCAGTCCGACTCGCACTTGGCCGATTTTTTGAACCTTGCTACGACTTGTTACAAAGATCTTGTAAACTCTGTGTTATATAGTTATTAATTTTACTATTCACATAATAAACATTACTTCGATTAAAAATACTATTATTGGAATGTTAGCTATTGACAAAAGAGATTGAATGTTGATGATTGTAAAACTTAAGCACCGGCTCGAATACATTTTGGATAATTTTGACCAAGAAGAAACATTCGAAAAGCTGACGACAAACATAGTCTAAACTTTTGCCTAAATTTGACTTTCAGATTTCTTGCGCGAAGTTCTCAGAGTTAAATCACGCTAAAACTAACTTATTCCCGACTGAAATTACTTCACATTTAGAAATGTAATCAAAACTTTGATAATATATCTCGGATTGTTCTACGATTCGGCCTTGAATAAGTATTTTGTGTTTGTGTGTATTTTTCAAACAAATATTGAAACCTTTACTAACATTTTACGTGGGCTTATAAATTGACATTAATTATCTTGTATCCTTATAAATAACTATGGAAATGTGGGGAAGTTCCTATTTAAATATAGAACAAAATTCATATTAATTTGAAAATACAAATATTTATTAGAAAAATTTATTCATGCAAATATAGACTACTTAACATAACTATAATAATAAGAGACTACAGAAGTGTATTCAAAATGTGCCCATATCTCAGTTCAGATACACAACTAGTTTCACTTGAAATAAAATTTGTGCAGATTAAATAAAAATATATTAAACTTACCATTTTCATTCCATGAATTTTCATTATTGTTAGATCTGAAAATAAATGATTTTTTTAAAGCTTGAGATACAGACCTGATAATTAGAAAAACTTTAATATTACTGGTGTTAGTGGAAATGAATTTGTTTACAAAAGTAGAATAAAATGATGCGACCGCAATTCCCTAGTTAATACATTCACTACGCCATTTGCTATAACAAACTATAACAGCAATGCTATAACAAATCTCAGCAGGCTCAGTAAGCCTGAGGAAACTAGTAGTAAGGATTAGTTAAGGATTAGTAGGAGCCAAACAGGTTTTGTTTTAGGAAATACATGAGAGCTCGCACGTAAAAGTTTTCAAAATGAATAACAATTTCAATGTTACTAACTCGCAAAGCTCGAGTTCAGCATCGCAATCTTTCCAACGTAATCCTATTAGCCAACGGGTGAAGTTTTCAACTTTTACAATCCGCTTACTCTACGTTTCACTGCATTCTTAGTTGGGCTTGAGTCTTGTTATGATTTCTGAAGGCTTTATCAGAATACAATTCCTTACGCCATCGTTGTGTGTTTTTCCATTTATTGTAGGCTTTAGATAATTAAAGTGGTTAAAACATCATAATTGTTAATTTATTATGGAATATTATAGTTTGGATTACATAATTGGTGTTCTAATCCATGTTTGCTTGTTTGTAATGTTAACCATCATTTTTACCTAGTTACTTGATGTGACTTTACAATGAAATTGTTAATTTTAAATGCTGACTTTTGACGTGCTTGGCGTTAAGAAAAATATTGTGAGGAAACCTGCATATTTTAGAAATAATAATGAACAAAAAAACATTTCGAATATATATGAAATCCGCCAATCCGCAGTGGAGTCGTGGTGGACTTTGCCTTGATACCATCTGAACAGAAGAGGCCTTTGCCCAGCAGTGGAACAAATACAGGCTGTTACTTTTTTACTCACATTTCTGCTCCGGAATTTTCTTCAGTATACGTGCGGGATAAATGTTCGCTTGCATCGCTTGACGCATCTGCAGACAAAAATAATAAGAATACTTTACAAAACTAGGTATCGTACTTATTTCTCGGTTTTATTAAATAAGTAGCGACCAGCCCCGACTTCGCACGGGCATGAATGAATGAAATGCGCTTTATTGTACACCAGACAAAATTACAAAAGTAACAAGCAATTACATAAAGGTACAATTGGCGTACAATGTATTATACATATAAACCTTCCTCTTGAAACATTCTATCTAGCAAATAAGCCGCATCAAGATCCGTTGGGTAGTTTTAAAGATTTAAGCATACATAGGAACAGACAGACAACGGGACAACTTTGTTTTATACTATGTAGTGACGTAGGATCACTCTGTTTTGTAGTTGCTAAGTCGTATACTTCGGCATCGGGGCAGTGGGTTTAAACCTCCCCGTCCCAAACGAGATAACTAATTGACCAATAAGTGACCTGCATACAATTGTACCGTATCTGGGTGTATCTAGGGTTGATGTCAGATACGCGGATATTCGTAAAAAACCTAGCCAAAACTTACAGCATGATTCATTTGTTGTGCCGACCCACCCTAGGTGGGTAGGTGGTAAGAGGAGAGAGAGAATTTCATAATGAGCAGTTGTAATACTTTGTGCTTGATAACGCAAATATATTAAATGGTACAATATCGCTTTTTGTTATTTTGGAAATCGTGCATAAAATATTCATAATATAAGTTTAAGTTAATATAAGTTTAAAAAATCATTTAGCATATTGATCGCATAAATATCATTTATGTCATTTATGTCAATCACGCGGATGTTTTTGTTCTGACTGCAGTCAGCTTTTGTTTGTTTACCTTGTCTATTTTATAATAATAATCACTGATCAGTAAATGAATATTATTATTTCCGAACCGGTAATAGGATTTGTAATATGTAATATTTGTAATATTATTTAATGTACGATTCTTGTTAGTTTAGCTAATAAGAATCGTACATTAAATAATGTTTTTTTCCACAGCGAAACCGGCATAGGCGTATATAGCAGGGGGGCCGAGTGGGCCATGCCCACCCCAGTATCGTCTAGTGCCCACCCCAGGATTTTGGGTTACCGATTCGAAATTCTAGGCTGGACACCTATGAAACTATCCAAAAAAATCAGTTAAGATCTACCATGGGAGAAGAGATGTTCTCAAGCATTACTCTTCTTCATATAGGAAACTAGCGACCCGCTCCAGCTTCGTACGGGTGTAGATATTGAAATTCTCGAATTTTCTCTACTATAATATGAATAATGTTTGATTTTTTTTTGTAGTAATGGCCTAGGCCCATCCTGGAAAATGGCCCTAGGTACGCCACTGGAAACCGGTAGTTTTAATATTTCTGCTTTCATAATTTTTACACCCATAAAAATAAAGGATTAAAATTCGAACAGTGAGTCTAAAATAAAGCAACAAACGCCAGAACGTTAATATGCTTTCGAAAAATATTTCACAAAGTCAGAAAATGTTGTGTGTAATTAGCTCGAGCAAAAAAACCGAAATGTCCTTTGATGACTTTTAAAGGGTTTTTAGAGTTGAACATGCTTACTAAAACCAACTAGCAGTGAACCAACAGTCATAGTCAAAGGCAGTCGCCATTTTGAAGAGTCATTGCTTGCGTGCATTACCTTTTAATAATTTGTAGAAATAGCGAAATGTACACTTTATATTGTGATTTCTCTTCTAGTACCAAAGAGACGTGAGTGCGACTACTATTTAAAAAGTGAAACATGAAATAGTTTTCGTGTTCCTTAATGATAACGGGAGAAGATATATTGGTAATGTTATGCGTATACATCGTCTACAAATATCAGTAATGTTAATGGAAAACGTGTGTGTGTGTGTGAGTATGTGTACATACGGTATAACTTTTTACGTGTGTAGGACACGCAATAAGATATAATACAAGTTAAAAGCATAACAAAACAAAAATAACAAAAAAAAATATTCCATTTCATCATCATCATCATCATTTCAGCCTGTTTGAGTCCACTGCTGAACATAGGCCTCCCCCATAGACTGCCACGAAGTACGATCCTGAGCCACCTGCATCCATCGACTTCCCGCACATTTGCACAGGTCGTCACTCCATCTAGAGGGGGGTCGTCCTACACTGCGATGGCCAGTACGAGGCTGCCACTCGAGAACCTTTCTTCCCCAACGGTCATCGGTTCTACGAGCTATATGGCCGGCCCATCGACCCATATTCCATTTGCCAACTTATAATACGCGACTAATAATAACATTCCACTCTAGTCAATTTTGTCATGATTTTTTTAAATTATTCGTTCCAACTACTTCGTGTAAAAGATAAAGTTCATCTATATTAAATGTCATTGTCATTCAGACAAATTTATCAGTTTTCATAAGAATTTCCTAAATACTTTACCATGTGTATTGTAAAAAAAGTGTCCAGATTAAATGTAGTCACATTATAGATATAAGCTGTGTGACTTCTATTTGGAACTATTTAATACAAACAATCCGACCACACATTATTTCCAGGTAGCTCCAACAGTTTAGGCAGCGCATGCATACATAGCTCTCAGAAGGCAGGAATTTTTCTGACTTGTTTATTGTAATATTATGGTCATATCACACAAAATGTTTATAAACTGCAGCTTATGTGTTATTAATTATGTATAAGCTATATTTTTGTAAGGTGTCATCAAAATCGGTACCGTAGTTTTATCATGAAATATTAACAAACTTCCATACATCCTCATAGCGCCATGAAGTTCGTTGAGAACCGCCACCAACGTAGCTTAAGGTGACGCTTATCGTAAAAACTCACTCTCATAATTCTTTTCACAACGCTCCAAAAGAAGTATAGCTTCAAACGTATTAAAAAAAGATATATACGAAGCACGCTCCTCAGTTTGAAACGCGCCTGCAGCTTGCGCGTTGATATTGCATTCTCTGGAAAAGTAACTTCAACACAGCTTTTTCATTCGTTATTCGTATTATTTCAGTAGCTACTATGAGTATTGTAAAGTAAAAAAGTAAAGTAACAGCCTATACATGTCCCACTGCTGGGCAAAGGCCTCCTCTATATAGAGGGTATCAGGGCATAGTCCACCACGCGGCCCCACTGCGGATTGGCAGACTTCACATATCTTCGAAATATTTTTTTTTTGTTATTATTTCGAAAATATGCAGGTTTCCTCACGATGTTTTCCTTCACCGCGGAGCACGTGATAAGTAAGCACTTAAAGTTAAAAACTTCATTGGTGCCGGCACCGGGGATCGAACTCAGGTTGCTTGAGTATATTGGATTAAAGGCGAGCGCCCGGACACAGCTATCACGGCTCGAGTATTGTAAGTATTGTAGCATTCACATTTACTTCTTCTTCAAAAGGATTTAAATATGTTGTGTAAAAAGCAAAAATTTGCAAAAATCATGAAAGTTGCTAACTATTCGAAAATATTGGTAGTTGAGAAAAATTATTTAATAGCACAAAAATACCATCACATTAAGCAGCTTCAATGGTTTCTTCTTTCAAAGAAAAACTCGTATCCTTGTCTGCTTTTTAATGTTTAACATAATCCTTCTTGGCCAAGAAGGCTTACTTACAGGACGGCTATTCCTCCGCTTACTCTTGTATATTTCGTTATAGACCTCATTACAAATCTATCCTAAGAACATCACATGTTTATTTATTATTTAATTTTGTTTTTTCTTTTAACAGTGATAGGGCCACGCAGCAGCCTCGTCTGTTGCACGAATGGGCAGGTTCGTCTGGGTAAGTGCCAGAACCTCACAGAAGACCGGCGTAAAGTGGAAGTATAATACTTTCGCGTTTCGTCTGGTGAGTGAGGTAGCCGGAGCCCAATTTTCCAAAGGTTGTCAACGCATCTGCAACCCTCGGGTGTAGCGGATGTCCATATTATGTAGGTATAGCGGATGGCCATATCATGTAGGTATTTATTTATGGTTATGGTTACAGGAAAATTCGACCTTGATAATTACGACGTTATTATTATTTCATTATGTACGCGTTGTGTTGATCTCGCCGTGCTCGTAGGCGAGGGCGAGCTGATGTGTTTGTTGTTACACTAACTGTGGGCATAGTGTTATCCGGCAGGACCCCCGGCGGTGGGTCCGACGTAGGTACAGAGTTAAAATGTTCAGTTTAATGACGCACTTATTTTTTTTATAATACAATGAGAGTTCAAATACAAATTCTCAGAGAATGGAAAAAGTTGTCCCACTGAAACCGAATCGCAATAAAGTGCAAATCATTTCACGGTTCTTAAGTGCAAATTAAAAAAAAAAAGGAAAATGTGGAAGTTGTGCCAAAACATAGACGTAAAGTTATATATACATTTATAAATTGGAAAGCCCATATACAAAATATTACTAACAAGCTAGCGAGATTCACATGCGCACTAAACGAACTCAAAAAAGCAACAGATATAAAAACAACAATAACAGCATATTACTCATACGCATACTCCTGGCTAAGTTACGGTATAGTACTGTGGGGTAATAGTGTTGATGTAGGAAAACTATTCATTTTACAAAAAAAATGCATCAGAATAATTGCAAATATAAAAGATTCTTTAGAGAGGTGTAAATCACATTTTATTAAACTTAAAATTTTAACATTAATCTGCATAATTATATATACTTGAAATTGGTAAATTCGTTAGAAAACACCCATCTTTATTCCCTCTCGTACATAATGAACGACCTCAATATCGAAACCTCCGATATAGAAATAAATTAGCGTTACCAAGCTCCTCTTTAGCCCTCTTTCAATCAGGACCTTACGCGATGTGTGGAAAGATATACAATAAAATACCAAATAAAATTAAGGCAATAAAAAATTACAATCTGTTTAAGAACGAAATGAAAAAATTATTATTAATCAAGAATTATTATAGCATACACGAATATTTAAGCGACTAACAAACACTACTCTAATATACTCAAATATTCTATATTATAAAATTTTATGGTTATGAAATTATGTTATATCAATTTATTATATATT